GGTTGGTCCTCTATTATGAAAAATGGGAAAATGAGTATTGCTAAACTCTATGCCCGGATTCGACCTCAGGCTCCTAAAGTAGGGTGGAAGAGAATTATTTGCAATAACCAAGCCGCTCCTAAGAGTATTTTCATTACTTGGTTAGCTTTGCTTGACAAACTTGCCACTAAGGATAGAATTGTGAAGTGGAATGCAAGTTGTGACCCTATTTGCTTTTTCTGCCAGAATACTTGTGAATCTGTCTCTCACTTGTTCTTCTGCTGTCCTTACTCTAAGACTATTCGGGAACAGATTTTGAAGCTTCTTGATGTGAAAAAAGTAGTTCAACCTTTTCACATTGTACAATAATGGATTGTTAAGAATTGTAGGAATTCGACTAGTAAGGGTAGAGTATACTCTATATGTTTTGCTGAGGCTATCTATAGGATATGGTTGCAAAGGAATAGTCTGATGTTTACGGGTGACTGTAAACCTTCAGAAACTGTCTTTCATGACATTATTTATCATGTTGCTGTTAGGTGTAAAGGAACATACATAAAGCTGCTTTTGTTTCACTGATTGTTCTTTTTCTGTCTGTTTTTTTTTTTGGTTTGTTCTAGCTGAGGGCAGCTTGTCAGTTGCTTCTCTTTGCTGGTTTGCTGCTATTGTTGCAGTTGTGCTGGTGCAGTGCTGGTTCTACTCTGTTGTTGTTGCTTTGTTGTGGCAGTCTTCTTTTGCTACTGTGGTTTGGTGGCAGCTGGTGGTTCTGGTTGCTGTTCCTAGCTGCTGCTGCTGCTCTGGGTGGCAGCTGGTAGGTTGATGTGTTTCTGCTTGTTGTTGCTCTGTTGTGTGTGCCTGGTTGTTGGTGGTTGCAGCTGCTGGCTCTGTTGCTGGTGTTGTTCTGCTGCTGCTTCTGTGTGCAGTTCTGTTCTGTGCAGTTGCTTTGCTGTTCTTTGCAGTTTTCCTCTGCTCTATTGTTGTGCTGCTCCTGTTTGTTGTGTTGCTATTGCAGTGCTGGTTTGTTCTGGTGATGTTTTGCTGCTGCTTTTTGTCTGCCGTGTTGCTCTGTGCAATTGTTGTTGATGTTCTGTGTAGGTTGCTTCTGTTATGTTGATGTGTTGCTCCTGTTTGCTGGTTCTGGTTGCTAGGGGTATCCGTTCGGTTTTCGGTTTGGATTTAGTCCAAATCTGATCCAATCCGAAATATAATTCGGTTTTCAATTTTCCAATCCGAAATATAATTCGGTTTTCAATTTTCCAATCCGATCCGATCCGAATTTCTCCCTTGATCCAATCCGATCCAATCTGAATTAAAATTCGGTTATTTGGATCCGATCCGAAAATCCAAATTATAATACATTATTTTTTTAGCGCCTAATACAATTATAAAAATAAAGCTTTACTATAAATAAAAGTCTTCAAAATCATGATTAAAATACATAGTTCAACATCAAGTCATTAATTAATTAATACAAAGTCTCTCTAATTTATTTTATGTAGTATTAAGTATTGAGCTAAACTTCAAAATATAGAGAAATCCATATTTATACAAGCTTAATTTTACAATTCGGTTTTCGGTTTGGATTGGATCCAATTAGGGTCAATCCGATCCAATCCGAAAATCCGAATTTCCAAAAAATCTCAATCCGATCCAATCCGATTTAAAGTTCGGATCCGATCCGAATTGATAATTCGGTTTGGATTGGATTGGATTTCGGTTTTTATCCGAATTATGGACACCCCTACTGGTTGTTGTTGCTGTGCTGGTGTGTTCCAGTGCTGCTGGTTTGTTGTTGTTGCAGTTTCGCTGCTGCTGGTCTGGCTTCTGCTCTTCTGGTTCTTTGCAAGGTGCAGGGGTTTTTTGGTGTTCACCGGGTTTTCAAGCTTGCAGTTTTTTTGCTGGTGCCTTGGTTTTTTTTTGTAAACCTTTGTTTGTTAGGTTTTTTTGTTTTGTTGGTTCGTTTGCAGATCTGTATGCTTGTGTTGTTGTCTGGTCCTGGTTTCCAGAACCCTTCCTAGAAGGTGGCTGGAAATCTGAGTCCAGTTTGTTCTAGGCCCTTCCTAGAACCCTTCCTAGAAGGTGGCTAGGATTGGATCTAGAACTGGGTGTTGGGGGCTGGCCTGTTTTTTTCAGGTCTTTTGGTGTTCTGGTGGTAGTTATAACTTAGCTCTTGTAAGTTGTAACTTTCTTTCCTTGGTAATAAAATTTTATTTACCAAAAAAAAAAAAAAAAAAAAAAAAACTTCAGATTCCTATGAGTCTAGAGCCTTTAGAGCAAGACTCTTGTTTTTGGAACTTTTGTTGTTGGAACTCAGATGCAATTCATGAGTCATAAGTGATCCAGCTAGTTGTTCCATATTGAACTTAGTGAAGTCCTTAGCTTCCTGCATGGCAGTAACTTTGGATCTCCATCGTTCATCCTGTGGAAGACTTCTCAAAATCTTTCTAGCCTGTTCATCAATAGGAATGTGCCTGCCAAGGGATTTTAATTCATTAATTATGTCGCTAAATCTGGTAAACATTTCTTCTATTGTTTCTTTGGACTGCATTTCAAACCTTTCATATCTAGACATTAGTAAATCAATTTTAGAACGTTTTACCTCGTTTGTTCCTTCATGAGTGACCTCGAGTAGATCCCAAATTTGTTTAGCAGTCTTGCACCCCATGATACGATTATGCTCATGAGGTCCAAGACCACAATGTAAATACTTTATTGCTAAAGCATTCATTTCGAGTTTCTGATAATCTTCTTTGTCATAATTAGAAATAATTTTAGGAACTACCTCATTTTTATCATTTGTAGCGGTTACCTCATAGTCACCAGCTTCAATAACACGCCAAACTTGTAATTCTCAGCCTTAATGAAAATCTCCATTCTGTTCTTCCAGTAGGTATAAAACTTACCGTTAAACATAGGTGGTCGTTGGGTTGAGTACCCTTCTTCAAGTTTTTCCTTGTAGTTCATTTCTCCTCAAGATCTTACTCAGCAAAATTATCTGCTTACACGTGAGAACCTCGCTCTGATACCAATTGTTAGTTGAAATGAACCCTACAAGAGGGGGGGTGAATTGTAGTTAAGTTCCTAGTGACTACTTTTGCAAATTTAAAACAGAATATAAAAGGAACTTGATAGTGCACACACAGTTTTACGAGGAAATCTTCCATTGCTCAACTGGAAGTAAAACCTCGACCCTTCTAAGGGATTTCAACGCACAAACAATCCACTATAATAGGGCAATGAAGAAATTACAAACCTATTATAATCCAGACCTTTGTATACAAGTTCCAACTAGAACTTGCAGCACGGTAAGACTCACTCCTACCCAATTCAAATCCCCTGACTTGAATTCACTCGTACTTTCACAGTACTAATGCACTCTTTTTCACAAAATAATTTCTACAGTATGTGATTATAAATCTCATACACTCTCACCCAATTACTCAAACAATTACAGTAAATAAAGTGTCTAGAATATGTTAGGCAAGCTATGCATAAAACCAGAAACTAATATGACAAGATAAAGCTTGGCAAACTTACACTTTGATAAAGCTCACAAGATTTTCTTCACGCATAAAACTTACAAAAATCTAAAGTAGTTTTACCTCTACTATTTATACAAGTAGATCTTGTATAGAAAGTAGGTTTTCAAAAGATAAAGATGTTAACTTTCCTTATCTCAAAATACGATTTTTGGTAAATCATTTTATTGAAGAAAAATCCTTTCCGAAAAATACAAGAAGATATATATGAAAGAATAATATCATTTTTGTAACTAATTTTAGGAAAATAAATTAAAACAAAATCTTTTTCCAAAATCTATCTTTTTATATTTTTCCAATTTTATCTTTTTGCCAAATTATCTTGTCACGTCTCTAATAGATTTCATGCATATCTTATTAACATATTTAACAATAAATCTAAAAGATAAAATCTTAACTAAATTAATATCTCAATGCCGCACTGTAATCTTGAATATCTTGGCCTTCACGCAGGCCAGGAACAAGTTCCTGCTGTCACTTAGTCTCTAGTTCACAACTGGAACTTCGCAGCCTAAGTTCCTTGTGGAACTTACTGTCTTCAGCTTACAGCCTTCGAGTTCCTGTTAAGGAACATTCCTATTAAGGAATTTAGTTCTTGTTAGAGAACTCTTCTTCTATTGATTAACCTTTTATTAAAGATTCTTCAAGTCTTCATAATACAAGATGTTCTTCCTCTACCAAGGTCCATTTCTCCTGTACTTAAACACTTGTAAACCTTTAGTTGAGTTTGCTTTAGTTTAAGTTCATCATCATCAAAACTTATAAGCTTCAACAGTATGACACTAAGGTCTTCCCAAAGGCTGCTGATCAGACCGGCATTACCTGCAGGGATGCTTGGCCCCCTGGCCATTCTGGATGCGTGAAGCTTAACACGGATGTCCATGTGCCTAACGCTGGTGCTGCTGGCCTTGGTGTGGTGGGGCGTGATGCTAGAGGAACACTTCTATGCGCTGCAACAAAGGTTTGGGGTTCCCAACCGGAATATATAGAAGCCATGGTTTTTTTGTATGCCCTGAGACTTGCGACAAGGTTGGGTTATAAGTCATATGGGTGGAATGTGATGCCATGAATGTGATCGAGCAGGTGAATTCAAGTATTGGGGGTCTTTCTCCTTTATTTGTTATTTTATGGATGAGATTTGTGTCAATAGAGCTTAGTTTGATAGTTGTATTATTACTCACGTTAAGCGTTCTTGTAGCATTGTTCCGCATCTAGTAGCTAGGTGGGATACCGGTGATTTTTTATGTACGACTTGACTCTTTCCCCCAAAGTATCTTGACTTTGGTGGGATTAGACTATGATTAATAAAATTGCACTATCGTTTTCCTCAAAAAAAAAAAAAAATCATTGTAATTTTTTACATCTTATACGTTAATAATACACCAAAATACTCCAATCAAACAGAAACCGAAATGGTGCATGGATCTTCTTAAAGCTCAAAAGCAAACTAAAAATGCTCCGTTTCTAGTTTTCTACAAGTCATCAAAACTGCTTCAGAAGTGTTAAGATGTACATTGGCACCTACAAAAAATGTTGATGAAAGATTAGTACATCCTGTATATGATTTTAACATTACGACTTTAAAATAAAATTAACATTATCTCTGAAATAGGGATGGGAGAGTTGAGAGTATATACACCAAAGTTTCTGACGACGTTTCAAAGAGTTGAAATCATCAATCTTTATCGTGATAAAGATTTAAGTCATGGTTTCTAGATAGGGAGTTCTTATGAAACAAGCAATAACATTAAGTCGTGTAGTCTTTTTCCTATCCTTAATACCACCCCATGTAAACGGAGTTCTGGTTTTGTCATAATAGAATTTTTATACTGTACTTAATTTTTGGGGGGAAAAGGTTACGTAAAAGATTTTACTGCAGAAAGGCTAGCTATTTTAACGACAAACTTCTATCATCAGTAAACAATTGACTAAAATTTACCATTAAAAATAAAAAATAAAAGAGACTAAAATTTAAAGTGATTTCAAAGAACGAACTTATTGTGAAACTAACATTTTTCAACAAGGTTAAAAACTGAAATAATTTATGACGATTTTTCTTCAAAAATATCAAATGACCTTTTCTATGATGACATATATGATCAATAACCTTCAAAATCTGTTATCAAGTATTATAAACATAACTAGTATGTGGTCCAGGGCACCAGGCAATGCCTCATATTATTATTATTATTGTTTTGAATGTTATAACGTATTATTTGCATTCCAAAATTTATGAAAACAGCAAACAGTAAATAACTAATATAAAAAACCCACACAAAAAATGAACACTTCCCATCCAAGTTAGATATATAATTGAGTGAGATCATAATTAAAAGATTGTTATAATGGAAAGGCTTGTAACTCATTTCTTGTTGGTCTTAAATTCAAACTCTGTAATACGGCTATATACTACGGAGCATCATTTAAGAATGTTCATAATTGCATGAATGACATGATATATTTCTAGTGCATGAGAGGGGTGCCACGTGACATGTATATTTACTTTCATACCTTGCTCTAATGGAGGCCATCACACACTCCCCAAAAAAGGATGACCTTTGAAATCCATTTCAACCTTCAAAAGTAAATCTAGCACGGAGATTTCTGGATGAAAAAGAGTGATCGCACATAGTGAGCTCTAGGGAAATTTGAGCTTTCTTTAAATATAAAGCATTGATGCTGAAATTGGTATATACTAGTGACTCATGGAAAAAAAATCATAGCATTCTCCTTTAATCACATAGTTTAAATTCTAGTATCTTTTCTATAAATCAGAAATCAAGCAGAGAATACATGACTTTGATCTCAATTGTAACTTACCTTTCAAACATTTGATTAAGATAGGTTAGGCTACTTCCTTATCCTGAATGTTTTCCCATCCACACCACGTCTAGATTGTGACTCTTTCCTACGTGTCTCCTAACATTCATCCTTTCAATTTAGAAACTGGTTTGACAATGCAATAATATAAATTGTAAATATAAAGTTAGCTACTAATAGGGTATTACCATTTTCTTGTAGTACACTTGCAACTCATTTTCATAGTCAGCCTTTTTCTTCTCTGTAACTTTGATGTAGGGAGCCTTTTCCTGGAACATTTTCATAATTCAAGTTTTCAAAACTATATTTGGGAAGGTTATACATAAATGAATATCCCAATCCATGTATCAAATAAGTTTCTGTAAAGCTATATCCTGCTGCAACTCACAAGATCAGACATGGCTCTCCACTTTTTTGAAGCAGCTTTAAGGACCTTATAACAAAACCAAACACAGAATAACAGTAATAATTAAGAACTTAGAAAAACAGGATAGCATAGATTCCCATGAAGATATAAAATTATATGAGAAATACTCACATCACCAAATGACTTATAATTAGAGTGCTCCAGTTTGTATTGCTTCTTAAACTCCTCCCTTTGTGCAACAAAGAGAACACAATATGTTTAAATATGTATGTATGAACAAACCCGGAAAAAAAAAAAAGAAATAAAAAAAGATAAAGAATCAAGGTAAGAAAACACTAAAGTTTAAGCTATACATGGGATCATTATTTCTGTTCTAATACGGTATACCAATTTCTTGAATATAGACATCTTTTTTCAAGTTTTCCAATAACTACAATGTGCCATTACAAACTCAAAGTAAATTAGCTTGTTACAACTACAAACACCGTGACAATATAACGTTTAATAAGTACCACTTCTGTCTCCCTCCCTCTACTTCATTATTTGAGCTAGTGTTCTTTATCACATCTCAAGTTCTCAACAAAAATCCACATCAACACAAGCATTTTTGAGCTCTAAGTTCATGCTCCTCATGATTTGGTGCAACTCCCATAGATAACATTTTTAATCAAATTCAGAAAAGTTACCGAATTAATGTGTGAAACCAAAAGGAATCCACATCAACACAAGCAATTTTAATGTTATTTTGAACATCGATACTGCAGGATACTTAAATTATAGACAGATAGACATAAAGATGCATACACGAATTCGAAAAAGCACGTAGGAGGCTTCTTTGGCTTGATGGGAAGAGGATCACGAGCTTCCTCTTTTATATCAAATGACAACCTGTACAGCCAGTGAGCCAACAGGGCAGGTAAGAAGGTATATGTCACACAAGTGAAAAGCAAAATAAAAGAACGAGAGACATAACATAGCACAAAATTGAAATATTTTATAACCACTTGCACTCTTTTGCCATCAGCTTTTAAGAAATTTGATTTTGGTCTCCCTTCATTTTCAGCTGCCACTGCAGATAAACTGATAAGTCAGACAGCTCATATATCAAAAATATGAAATGCAGGAATGTCTTCCCTTTCAGGAGTCAGAACACATACTTTCCTTCTCTACAAGTTACAGCTATGGGTAACATTGCCTTTCTAGAACAACTGAACATATACTATATATTTACTTCAATTACTGAAAATGTCATTATAACGTTCATATTTCTCAGTATGTCAAATTGTCAACGCTCCTTCAAAGTAGAGAAGAGAAAAAGTTGCAGAGCAATGAACCATAGTGAATATGTGCACCTGAGTACAATAGTACTTAGATTCACTAATTCACTGTATGCAATATCACAAACAAAAATAAAATAGCTAGCAATAGAGATGTCACATACCTATGTCATTCAATTTTCTTCTCTTTACAACTTGGGAAACACTTGGTGCCAATGGAGCCAATAACACCTGCTGAGTTAAAGCCCGTTTTCCGTAACCTGCAGCATACAAGCCTTCCACTACAGGAAAGGCAGTAGCAAGAAACTCTTCGTCTTCCACTAAAACCTCAATATTGTCTTTGGTAAGCAAATACTGAATTGAGTGCTCCTGAAACTCGAACAAAAAACTCATCTGGATAAGATTCCGCTGGTCATTTACAATGACTGCTCTCTCTTCCAGAAGCAATCCTTCTGCAATTTCTGTAGCAAAGGAACTCACAAACTCTGCACTGGCCTTCTGGAATGCAGAAAATTAACCATCGATGAATAAGCGCTTGGATTTTTTGTCCCAATGAACTAACTTCTTCACTTCTCTCTCAAGGCATTTTTCAGCTGTCAGATGCATTTTAAAAGAGACTTGTACGTTTTCATTGCTTCCAAAAACAGAAAGGTTAAGCAAAGAATTTACTGCTTCATGTCTACTCTTGGTGGATAAGTGAATTTTACAGGCAAGAAAGCCCAATATTATTTTAATCAGGCCTTTAACAATCAGCTTCTTCTTCAGATCAACTTCAGTACATTGAGTTGAAGATGGCATAATCATAACACTGCATTTCACGCACTCAGAGATTTTTCTCACCCCAATCACATTGTAGACTGCACATAATTTAGATGGGGAAACAGAAGAGAACACATTTCCCTTAGGTAGCCACATATATAAAGGGGAGCCTTCGGAGCCTATGAATATCTTTTTAGGCCACAAATCATCGGGAACAACCACAAGTTCTTTGCTAACTAAGATGATGTTCCCATCTGGCAACGATGAAGGTACTTTGGCCAATTTCTTCTTAAGAGTATCCTCCATCTCCTGATTCCAGTTCTTGAGAATATAACTCCAAAAGAAGCTGCATTCAGTTTCTAAGAGTGCAAGGGTCTCCCTAGTCTCCCAAAGGCTCCATATTTGCAAGTAGTGATCTGTTGAAGGACATTCCATGACTCGAAAAGCAGTGTTGAAGAACGGAAGCAACTCTTTTTCATAAAATCTTTCCAAAGAATATAAAATAGGTGCAAAATTATTGGTTTTGTCATGAAGCACACACAACTCAGAATCCACCCACATTCCCTCTCTAGATGATTCATTTGAAGGAATCCAGATCTGCGAGCTTGCTGATTCTAGTGAAACAGGTTTCCAACGAAATTCCTTGAGAAAACGATATATCCGTTTAATGGGAGGAGTTTCAGAGAATAATGGAAGACAGAGTGATAAAGCTAAGCAGACCTCCTCAAGATCAACCTTAACCCCAATTTTTTTAAGTGGATCAATATAAGCAGACATATCAGTTCCATAGTATTTATTATTTATGAAAGGAGCATCTGTCAGCTCAAGCAACTCACTCCATGCAAACTGGAAAAGGAGAGTATCCTTTGGCAATTTATATCCACAGCTTGTCATTAGGAGCTCACTTTGCATCATGTTGTCAATGAAATTCTTGAGAAACGAGTGACCATTTTCATCGGCCATCAAAATTTCCAAGCATTGTAGCAATGAAAGTGTGCCTTCAGCTGTCAAAAGTCCTTGTTCAATCGGCCTTTTCAGCCCTTTAGCAACGAATATAGCCCCTTCTTCCAAGCTACACAATACACCCAGCATCTTCAGTTCTTCTTTAAAACCATAAATTTCAATTCCGTAGAAAGAATCATCAATGAGAGGGAGATCCACAAAGAATGAAATAGATGCCCACTTAGAATTAAAAAGAATAGATTCTCCAGGCTTCTTGTGTCCATGTCGAGTTCTTAAAAACTCCTCCTTAATCAAGCATTCACACAAATCCGCTAAAACAGAAGACTTAGTTTTTTTCAGCTCTGTGATGCAATGCAACAGCTTGATCAAAAGATCTGAAGCCACAGACGATGCCAAAAGGGTCTTCAATTCACTAATGACTATCTTCAATATATCTTTAAGATCAACAGCAACTCCGATTGCTTTAAGTTCATCTGCGTATAATTTGATTCCTTCCCCATAGAAAATTTCATCTTTTATTGGAACTTTGACAATTTTCAGCAAACAGGCACAGTCTGGTTTATCAAGAATTGTGGCTGAAGGGCATCTAAAACCAAAGCTTGTTTTCAACCAAGGAGCACTGCTGACTTTCTGCATAAATGGTGCAACTGAAGATTTCATGTTTTTTAAGCAATTAAGTACAAAATAACCACGATTAGAAGTCATAGATAAAGGATTTTCAGGAAAAGAAAGATTCTCTGCAGCCAACGAATACACCCCCAATCCAAACTTGAGGCCTAGAAGCTGAAGTTCATCAAGATAAGAATGAAGTTTGCCCCCATAGAACTTGTCATCAACTACTTGTAAACTAGTTACCAAATATGCAGCTTCAGCTTCCGAATCTGATTCAAATAAAACAGAATCCCTGGGAGCAGCATAGCATTTACAAGTTTTCAGCCATCTGGCATTACTCATAGTGTTTATCCATTGCTCATCTAGCATTTTCCTTTCCTTCAAGAAGCCAATGAATAGAAGAAGTGAGAACGCTTCCTCTCTTTTCATGGTAGTAGAAGACAAAACCTTGAAACGATCCATGATAATCTTCTGCACACCATTTATCCCACATTTAACACCAAGAAATGTCAATTCATCTATATATAACCTGATCTGATCACCATAAAAATCTTCTTCCACAATAGAGAAACCACTTAGCACACCTTTCATTAGTTCTAGTATTGCCTTTTCACTTTTGGTTGGAATTGTGCAACTACTTGGACAGTCGACTCCAGTTTTTGTCTTCATCCACTTGCCAGAACGAATGCTTTCGATAAACTTTTCTGGCATGTTTTCACCTCTGGTTCGGTGAAATCTAATCCAGTCCAACAGCAAGAAAGCTTGCTCACATGTCATTAGCGAAGATGCTACTTGAAGAGGCAAATTCGGAAGAGATATCTCAGGCAGGTCTCGGGCTGCAGCATTGAGCGTCAGAAATCTGAGAAGCATTTTATCAGGTGTATTCTCAGCAGCAAAAACACCATTTGCAGCATAAGTTTCTGATAAATCAATATAGTTTTCTTGTCCGAATGGATTATTTGGTCCAAATAGCTTAGCCCATTTACTTCCTGATGCAGCTACAAGAGTCTCAGTTCTTTGAGCTCTTACACAGCTAGAGCCATCTATGACAGGTAGCAATCGTGCAATTGAAGAAATATCAGTGTCTGTCAAGAACTTCTTCTGCTTACTGTGATACAGAAAGTGAGCCAACATAAGCACGCCATTCGACTCCCCTTTATGAGATATGTAATCACAAAGCATGGAGCTATATTCATATGCTGAGCAAGTTTTCACCCCAGCATAAGACAACAGCCAATAGGAAACAATTTTACCTTTACGGTGCCTAGTCAGAGCAACCTGGGTGGAATTAGGCAAGAAGAAAACTGGGCAGCAAAACTGAATATTACACTTTTGCAGCCAGACGTGAAGTTCCTCCTGTACGCAGTATTGAATCTTAGTTCTTTCTTTCCTATTGGTAATAATAATATACCAATCAATCTCACTCTTCTCATTGATCATCTTTAATATAGGATGGCTCGCTATAGAGCCACTTATGTACTGGCTAATGAAATACAAGATATCAATGTACATGTCATCAGAAGCTTGAGACACAAGATTGCAAGCAGTAAAGCATTCTTTATACCAGGAATCTTGATGATGGATACCAAGAAAGTCTAGACTTGGCCTATACATATCTTGATCAAGAAAAGGATGCACAAGACACATTTCTAAGGAAGAAAGGCCAGATAGAGAGGCCCCTAATTTGTTCATCTTGTTCAAAATCCTCCGAAATCTAGGGTAAACGGTAACTGCTGAGCTAGGCTTGCAAAATGTTTTCTGATTATTGAACATTTCACAAGGAACAATTAAAGCATCACAAAGCTTCATTCTGATTGTTTCTCTAATCTTATTGAATTCTTTAAATGGTGAAGCATGAGATGGCAAGAATGTAAAGGCCTTAGTGACGCCGAACAATGGTGAGCCTTGTTTGACACAAGACATAAAAGCATTGACAAAGGCAACAAGTAAACATTCAAGAATTCCCTGATTCCATCTACTATCAAAGACAATAGATTCCCGTGAGGAGGCAAGGATGAAATCAGCTTGAACCACAAAAGGAAATTCTGTAACCAACCAAAGAAGTCCCCCTTCTCAACCTCCTGCCAAACGGAAAGGCAAGTGACAAAACCCATTCTTTTACATCTGCTCTTCCACTGACTTTGGCTTGATCTGTCATAGGAAACGATTGTCTCCACAAGTAATATTTGCACTTCTCTTCAGGAGCATCTGGCTTCTCCTTCACCGAGAGATGAATAACTCGTGAGTCTGCATCTTTATCTCTTGAAACCTCATAATTGGTTTCACTGACTATTGATATTGCGGTGACACTGTCAGTTCTCTTCGGAACACTGCTGTTCTCATGGACATACAACCTTCTCAATTTCGACAAAAACAAAAGTATCTCAGGGTGAGGAGACGACAATTCCTTTTTCACTGGATTCACCTTGTCAGGCTTCAATGGCAGGATAATTGTCGTCATTGGCAAGAGCTGACACAGTTTGTATTTTGGAAACAATAGATTCATCAGAAATCCATTGAGGCACTATGTACCCAATGCTACACTCCTTGTCTGGCTCTTCAGAAAATTTTACTTTGTAACCATTGCTAATGATATGAGGCAATTTACTTACTAAGAAAACACTTTTAAATCCAATACCTGCAGTAAACAATAATCAACTTAATATTAGTTAATCCGGATTATTAATATATTTGTTTGAGAACATTTTGGTTTTATTTGTGGTCAAAACAAGCAAAATAAGCACATACTATAAAATTACACAAGATGTAACACGTAATATTGGAAATATATATACTTCTTTTGCTTGAACGCCTTAATCCCATAAGTGGGGTCGGCTACATGAACCACCATGAGGACTTTCAAGGAAGTCACTCATCCTAGTACTACTCTCAATCATCGTGGAAATATGTATAAATCGAAAAATAAAATATTGGAAATATATATGGGTTATAAGTCCTTAAGCAATGATGTGGACAAGATTGAAGTCATGAGATGCATGGTCATTTAACTAAGACAAAACAAGTATTTGTTGCCCTATACATTTTTCAAAATTTATAAGTCATTGGCCATTTCTCTTCTTTTTTTTTCTTTTCGTTTTCTTTTTCTTTTTTTTTTTCCTCACTGTGTGTGTGTTATATTTGGAAAGTTGGAGGAAAAATGACAATATTTTAAAATAGTAGTAATTTGCCATATAATTGCGCTATGACCCTATCTCAAGGTAACACCAAGGGGGCAGAATGCCCTGCCAAAAACTCCCCACTTTCCTGAAAAATAAGTTTTAAAGTACAAACCTCAGGACTCTTAAGAACTGAACTAATTGTCTTAGTTGGATTAACATTTCCAATTCTTTTTACATTTTGTATAGCCAATATGCATCTGCAAACAATTTGTAAGACACATTGGAACTTTGGAAGGCGTCTTTGAGGTGGGGAGCAAGGCCACTACTCCACCACCTCAATATTATAGATTATTATTAAATTGGAAGACATATAACAGTACAAATTTGCCTAGCATCTAATACAAACCATTATATTATTAACACATACTGAATTTCTGAGAAGAAAAATTACCAAAATCCAGACACTGCATAACTAGAATTAAGAAGCCTTATATTAAATATGAGTGATTAAAAACTCTTCTTCTCATTTTTGTTACCTTTTTCACCAATGAAGCCTTTACTTCTCTTGCCTTTCTTCGTGGATCGACCCACACTACATATAGATTCCATGTTTTGCTTCGAAAAGCCGACTTCATTGTTGAAAATTAAAAGGGTCTCTTGGGCTCCAATACCAGTGATATCTTGGGTTGTCAACGCAAACTCAAGGGTTGGTTCAACATAGTCTTCATACTGATTATCCTCTGCATTCTGTTTTTTTTTTTTTTAAAACATCAAAAGTCACTCATTATAAATCCCAACATGATCCTTGAAAATCGTTAACAAAACTTGCCAACATTAAAATCATTATATTACGAAACGCAAAATACCACTCTCCAACCGCCATACGGAGTATATTAGTACGATAAATCTATGGGTTTTTTTTTTCTTTTTTGAAAAAATCACAACTCTATAATTCTTATGTCCCTTTTTTAAATTACTCATTTGAAAATTAATTAATGAACGTCGCGTCACATAAGCATTTAAAATACTTTCGAAAGTAGTATTAATTTGGGAATACATGACTGCAGTCGATCGGTGTAATGAAGGTTCATTTTAATTTAATATTTTTTCTTTAAGTTATCTTATTCGGGGCGTTCATTAGCTTTTGCCTTTGAATATTTACAGCTTTTACCCTATTTATCTTAGCTAGTCCATAGTCCATACTTTGAAATGTCTTTGGTAAATTTTCACTTAGAATGAGGGCAAAATCGAGATTTAAACTCATGATCTCTTGATATATTAAGCTGATGGTTGAAGCACAAAATTGGTTTCTATATACTGTATCAAAAGTTTATAGAGTTTTTAAGATGGGTATAAAAATCTAAGATTAAAAAAATAAAACCCCAAAATATCAAACATATATATCCCATATTATTTTAGATCAATAAATCAAACTAACTTCGCACCAAAAAAAAAAAAAAAAAAAAAAAAAAAAAGGCAACAAAACCCTGGTCTTCTAAAATTCAAAGCACAATAGATAAAATACATAGATTAAGAAAATCTTGCACTTGAGAAACTCAAAACCCTAATTAAACAACTGCATGTCTTCAAATAACAAACAGTTAAATTAAATTAAATTAAATAAAAAAGTAAAAAATGAAAGTGCTTGATACAAATACACAAAGCATGAATGTTTATGAAAAAAAAAGTAGAAAAAACCTGGATAAGCTCCATGAGAAAATGAAGGTCTTTGGTGTAAAGTTCAGCAGAGAGGCAAGTAACAGCATGATGTAAGTCTTGAGTAAGAGGATTTGGCCTTTTGGAACCAATTGAGAATTTTTTCTTCCGCAATTCTTTATGTGATCTCTTGCTGCTGTGGCGGAGGCAGATGCAACGCCGGAGGTGTGATAAACTGGGTTACTACGTTTTTGCATGGCTGTGTTGTTCAAGACCAAGTGTAGTATTAAGGGTTTGTGTTTATTAATTATTATTACAGTAATTTGGAGAAGAGACTAAAAATGGTGAAAATGATTAAGAGTTATTGTTTACTGCAAGGATTTGTTATGATTTGACAAGTCAGGAAGAGTGTTGGAAGAAAATTTGTGCTGAAATTCTTTTTAATAGTACACTCTACCGTCTACACCTCACCAGCAGAACAGTGGAGAAGTAAGGAGTCACGACTGGCTCGTTTATCAAAGTTACCATGTTCAGTTGATCACCTTATTTTTATGCTCCCTCCCTTATTTGTCAAAAAAAAAAAAAAAAAAAAAAAAAAAAAAAATTGCTCTCTCCCTTATTAAATACTACCTCCATTTTTAAATAATTACTTCATTTCTTCATGTACAGAATTTTAGAAAAAATTGGATAAATTAATAAAATATGGAGGTAGTGGGGTAGGTGGAAAAATAAAAAAAATTATAAAATGCAAAAGTAGTGGAGAGAATATGAATTTAATAAAATATGTGTTGGGTCCACTAAGTGAGAAAAAATGAATTATTGTAAAAACTTTTCAAATAAGGAAATGGAGCAAGTATTTTAAAAACGGTTAAAAAAAAGGAAAGTGGAACAAGTATTTAAAAACGGATGGAGTACTTATATCATTTCTCTATACGCGGAGTTTTAGTAGAAACTAGTATAGTACCCGTGCGATACACGGCTTATAAATCTTGATACTCATATTCATTTCAAAAAAAATTTAAAATAAAACGATTTAATGAGTAATAATAATTGTACTTATAAATATATCTTAATCATATATTTTTAACACTCAAAATAATGATATACGAACTAGTACTTGAAAACAACTTTTTACAAAAAAAAATTTAAAATGTATGGAAAGATTTGAAAAATATTCAACTCAATGAACTAAATATAAATACCCACATTAAGTCATATTTTTTCCCTCATATCTACTTGCGCCACTAGCCACCTCTTTAATGGGAGGGTTTTTCTGTGTGGCTAGTCACATCGTGTGACCGGGGTTGCTCTAGTCACTCGGTCAAGGGTTATTCGAGTTACTTCTGACCGAGTAAGCTCTTAAATAACCCCTGATCCAGTAAATCGTATGTAACTCCTAACTTAACCCCTCGAGTTAAACCCATGACCGAGTAACTTATCACCGAGTAACTTATCACCGAGTAACCCCTGAAGTAACCCATGACCGAGTAACCCCTAACTGAACTCCTCAAGTAACCCATGACGACCGAGTAACCCCTAACCAAAATCCTCAAGTAACCCCCTAAATTAAACCCTAACAGAGTAACCCAAGTAACCCCTGACCCAGTAACCCCTTAAGTAACCCATGATCAAGTAACTAACCCCTGACCAAACCCCTCAAGTAAACTCTGATGAGTAACCCTTGACCGAGTATCCTCTTAAATAAGTAAATAACCCATGACCAAGTATTTAACTAACCCCTTACCAACTTCTAACCAAACCCCTCAAGTAATCTTTGACCAGGTAACTCCAGCCACACGGAGTGTGGTCAGCCACATATAAAAATTTGCCTTTTAAATGACTATTTCCGTCCTCTAAATCAATATATTTTTGGAAAAGTTTACCATTATAATAACAATATGATCATTATATATTGTACTGTTTTTTTTTTTTTGAAACAAGCATTATATATTGTACTTCGTATATCACAAATAATTTCATATCTTTTTCTCCTCTATGGCCTCTAAAAGCACTTAAAGTTTTACATGAAACTTTTAAAAATAGGATTTTTAATCATATCACTTACTACCTTAATTTTATTACATGATAATTCACTTGATCATTACCACACACCTATTGCACCTTCTACAACAAAAAATTTACTTGTCT